AGCTGGATCATGTTTTACTCAAAAGAACTGTGAAGACAACACAAAAGAGAAAAAAGTTCCATCTTGGGGTAAGATGCAGCTTAATAAGTTAATGGAGAGGGTGATATTATAGGCTGTGCTATTATTTCTGAACTCCGTTGTCCAGGAAGCTCCTGGAGCCTGAAATTATAAGTCTGAAGCAGGTGAAAATCTCCACAGGTCTTGGTAGCAGTCATTTTCATTTCATTGCAGGAAGAACGACTTCTGGCGTCATCCCAGCTGACTTCTGCAGCAGTACTCAAGTTTCTGAGGATTAAAATGTTCCCTTGTTTGCATCTGAATTGCTCTTTCAGAAGCCGAATGGCAGAGAGGAGGAAGTGTAACTGTCCTGACCATTTCTTTGCAAGGCCATATTCTTAGAGTCCTGCCATGAAGGCATAGTAAAATCACATGGGCCAGACCAAGACTGCAGACCCAGTATCAGGCTTTCTGTGCTGGCTGTAAGGGGGTAGCTGGGAGGGCACATTAGACAAGTGCAATCATACAGTGATGCTTGTCCAAAACAGTCTCTCAGTCTTCAGTAAGGTCCACTTCACTTCCTGGACATGAGATGGGATCTTTTTGCTTACTAAACTGTGAAAGATTATTTTTCCTGTGACTTATCTGACAGAGTTTTGAACTCATGTAAAGATTTGTTCTTTACCATGTCCTGCGGTAATAAGTTCCACAGTTTAACTGTATCTGACCTGAAGAAACAGAGCCTTTCATCTATTTTCGATCTGCCACCTGCTAATTTACTGATGGAGAATTTCTTGTAGAAAGTCTCTCTTCCTAATAGCTCTGGCATTTGTTTATTTGAGTGAGAGCAAGGGAGAAGGGAGACCAGAAGAAAAGAGTTAAGCTACTGACATAGAAATTATGTAGGCTGGAGATCTAGGCCTGAGACAAGAATTCAGAAGAGCAAGATTTAAGGCTTAGCTCTGCTAAAGACATGACCTTAGCCAGGAAGTTAACAGGAGTCAATCCCAGTTCAAACCTTTCAACTTTGCCGACCTTGTATGTTCAGGTCTCGAGCTAGGAAGCAGCATTTGTGCCCAATGCAGAGACCTCTCACCTTTCATCCCTTTCTATAGATGTTGTGTGGGAAAGGCATCTTCAGCAGGCTGCTCTGTGGGGGTATCTTCCTCCCTTATGTGAAGGCTACTATTAGGACTTTACCCCAGCAAAGGCAGTGCCTGGGCCTCCTCACACAGCTGATCATGTATCATGCTGCGCTGATATGGTGTGCTAGAACAGGGAGGGATCACAGGGTAGAAGAAAGGCTATGGTGCAACTCTATGTGGCAGAAACCAATTGTGTAACTCCTGACGCAGATCTCCTGAAGTCTAGTACCGACCAGGCAAGTTTCGTGTTTCATCTCACCTAACTTGAATCTTTGGCACCGTGGACACCCACAGCTATCAGCTACTGTGGGACAGAAATAGGCCCTTTGAGGGAATGATTAATCTAAGAGGTGTGCAGTGACAGTTTTAGGCATTGAGGGGGAGCATCACTGGCTTCAGGCTTCTGCTCCTGAAGGATACCAATCTCCTCCAGTCTTATCTTCCATCTGCCAACCCAGTACAGATGTCTTGGGCACCAGGGGGACCTCACTGCACAATGTTCCTACGCACCAGCAACTTAATTCCCTTCGATTTGTCTGCATTAGGCAGACTTATCTCTAGAAAGCTCTATATTTCTCCATTAACAAAAGAAAAGCAAGTGCAACTTGTTGAGATGGAGACATCTACTTTGTAAGTATCTAACATTAGCTGAAAGTGATCTTGTCTTTAATATAGCTTCCAATGCTGGCATCCTATGACCACTGAACAGGAGCCAAGTTCATTCAGTTGCTGAAAAGGACAGTTTTACTTTCTCCATAGGGAATTTTTCCTAGCCATAGGTCCCAGCCCTCACCCTTATGCTAGCACTGGTGCCCTGTATTGCTATGCAGTGATTCAGATAGGGAACTGATCCAAATGAAAGTGATTAGTAAGTTGTGTGATCTGGTAAAGAATAACGTAAGGGATGATTTGGAAATGCATGGTAGGGGGTGGAAAGGAGGGCAGGTAATAGCATGGACATAGCATAAAGCAAATGAGGAAACCGAGCCTGAGCCTCAACTGTTGAAAGTTCTTGGTTAAAATCAGTCTCTGTAACCAATTAGATAGCATGGTTTTCTGAGTTTCTCAGTGAACAGGGAATCCCTTGAACTTCCTTTCCCTGAAGAAGATCAGAGAGTGGCCTATCTCCCATCAGCTGGTAAAATAACGTTCCCCTTCTCCAGGCTTTCCAGGAGAGTGTGCCCTGTTGGCCGATTTTTCAACGCAGAATGTTGCCAAGTGAGAGATAAGATGCAGGCAGGAGGGGAAGAAAAGCAGGAGGAAGCTAACAGAGAGATTGATTGAAAAGATTACAGGGAGAAAACAGCAAACAAATGCACTTCCCGCAAAGACTTTCTCTAGCGCGTGTTCAGGACCAGACAAAAACTGCATGTCATGGGGCAAAGACAGACATTCACCCAAGCTGAAGAGCATGCATGGAACCATGTGATGGGGAGAGGAGACGTGGCCCTGGGCTACAGCAGCACAAGGAAGCTAGTTCACTGGCTGTAGCCTTCAAGTACAGTTCTTTCGGGACACACGAAGTCACAGTGTAACTCAGTGCAACACAGCTCCTACCAGGTAAAGATATCAAATCAGAGACCAGAGCTGCATCTGATACCTGGGGCACCGTGCATCTTTCTTCAAGGCTCATATACGGATTACATGACCCGCCATTTAGGTGTGCCTGTCTCTCTGTATTCAGTATATAAAGCAGCTGTGGTCAATGTAAGCTGCAAAATATCCAGAGTTTAAAGTCAGTGGAAGCACTATACTAACTCATCCAAACTCATCTTCATCATAGGCCACAGAGGGAAACACTATGGAGGGGACAAAGCCGCAAATAAATGAGATCCAGGCCCAGCCTCAAGTGAGTGTAAGTTTCACATTAAACATGTTTGTGGCACCCTTAGGGCCGTGAAAAAGCAGCAAGAAAAGAGAGCAAAATCTTGAAAAAATGTTCAGTGGAGCCTCCTATCACCTGAAATCAAAGGGAATGACCAGCAGCTGCTAATTATCTCTATGCTAAGGCACAGAGCAGGCAACTGATTCCTTCTGAAAGGAGGCTATTATTCATTTCCATACCAAAAGCCATCCAGCACAAAGACTGGCACAAAAAAGCAACGAGACCTTCAACTAGGAAAAGAGCTCATAGGAAACACCAAGGGGACAAATACTATTTTGAAAGACTCAGTTCTGCAGGAAAGGCTCCATTTCAGAAGCAGTGATAGTGCTTGATACCTCACTGGGGTGCTGCTAGGGATTAACGTAGGAAGAGAGGAAACAGCCAGTCATGCAAGACGTTTGCAATGAGAAGGAATAACCCAGCTGAGCTGTGAATGTGAGGTTCACATGGGCATGAATGCTCTTCTAATGCGGTGAAGAAAGATGATAGGAAATAAAGGTTTTTTTGAGCGCATCCCCAGCTTTAAAATGGACACTAACAGGAAGAGAGATGTACTAAATGCTCTCTGACCACAGATGATATCTGTGCACCAAAAGTCTACTTTAGGGACATGAAGGAGGATGTGGACTTTCTACTCAGGCCGTATGATGTAAGTCAACCCCCTAAACTAAAAAGGCCTAACATCTGATCTCTGACAACGGCCAGAAACAGATGCCTACAGGAAAGTATAGGAGCAGGGCAAGCACAAGGTGAAAATCTGCAGTTCAGGAGCTTCCTAGGCTGGATGTAGTGCCTTTATATGTAACTGCCCTATGCGGATTTGTGCCTTCCCTGGGTTTGTCTAATCACCTGTTGAACCCTTGTGAACTTTTAACAACTACACCGTCTTTGGCGAGAAGTTCCGTAGCTTGATTATATTCCATATGAAAAATCATCTCCTTTGACTTCTTCTGAACCTGATACCCAGCAATTTCATCTGATTTCTGAAGCGCTTGTAGTGCAAGAGGCAATGAGTAACAGTTTCTTAGTCACCTTCCCCATACCACTCAGGATTTTATTGACCTACAAAAGAGAAGCTCCTGGAACAGGTTCAAACACAGTGCATTCCTCACCTTACCCAACTTTCCATCACCCAGCTGGCTCACAGGCAGCTTCTGTGAGTATATTTAATGGTAACCTAATAAACTGGTCATACTTAGGTGCAAAGAAACTTCTCCTGCTCTGGAGGGCATGTTCTGGCTAAGACTAAGGCTATGTTTGTAGAAATCCAGTATGGAAAGTAGAGAGACCTAGGCTTGAGAACAGCTTTGGGTCTTAACTGAAAGAACAGAAATAGCTGTTGTTGGAAAAAGCAGGAAAATTCATTTATGGCTAACTCCTCATCCCTCTGAGCTCAAAATCAAACTTACGTTGACCTTAGTGCTTGACAAAAGTGTCTGAGATTCAAAAGTACGTAGGCCTTCCATGCACGGATTCCATTTAGAGCAGCAGTTCTGTCCTCTTAAAAATTTATGGCAGTATCTCAAGTTCTTGCCTCCCTTTCCCCTGTTATCCTCACCACATCAGTGGCTGGACTGCCAGGTCCCCCTCCAGTGGATGGAGGTTATTTTTCAGATGTCAGATACATGCAAACTTCTCATCTTGTGTTATGAAATCAACGATGCGATAAATGAATTTAGACTCTTTCTGTGGCTGGAGGGGAGGAAACTGTACGAAAAGAAAATGGGACTTTGTGTTGTTGTTTTGTTTTGCGGTTATTGAGGTTTTTGTGCTTGCTTTAAACCACCCTTCAAGATTTTAAGGCAGAAGATTGAACTATGTAGATAGTTCATACAAAGCACATGATAATATAAAAAAATACAGGATTTTTCTTTTCCTAGCCTTAATCCATTTTCCCGCTACAGAAAGGGACAGAAGGATATCAGTTAATAACATATCAGCACACACACACATATGCACGATAAAATGCTCACCCATTTTTAACACTCCTTTTAATGCCTGGAGGTCAACTCCTGATGATTACAAGCAGGCAGAAGTCTCATAGAGGCCCTTTCTTATATGAGTAAAGTTGGAATAAGAACTTTAGCTTCAAGTTTCTGTCCTGACACAGGAGCTGCTGTTGCTTTAGTAATTTCTACACATCACGAATGAAGTTCATCCCATCTAGCATAAGAGAAGAGAAGAAGTGAACTGAGAAGGAAGCAAAAGCAGATTCCCCCCCCACACACCCCAAATTGTGTCGCAGTACTCAAAAAGGAGATACTTAGGTTAGAAAGAAGTGGTGGGAACACTGGCAGAGGGACTCGAGCAAACATTCTTTTTCTTTTTTTTTTTTTCCCTATGTTTTAAATTCATAGTGACTCTTCAGTCTCTCCTACAGCTCCTGAAATTAAACTGGAATGATCCAGTCTTTTCAGAGTTAAAGATGTCAGTTTTGGGGCTGCACCCCCAGATTTGCTGCCTTCTGGCTCCTACAGTTTCAGCAGAAGTTTATCAGCCTTGAGATGTTTGGAACAAACTGTGCTGGATTTGGTGAATGGGCATTTTCCAGTGTGGTGTTGCCTGATTAGAAAATGTTGCTGCACTTTATATTCTCATTAGGAGCAGCTTTCTTCTCCCAAGTATCATGTATTGTGCATGGGAGGCTAGCTACTGACAATACGGCTCTCTTAAGGATGCTATAGAAAAGCTCCCTCTGTTTCTGTGAGAAAACAAATTTAACCTACAGCAGAGGGAAATTGCATAACAGCTGTAGGTCTATTAGCTGGACAAGAACTGCCAAAGATATCGCTATCTGTAATCTTCAGGGTATGACAATTGCCCACACTTGGCAGTCTAAGACAAGGGGATCATATTTCTTCCAGACCTCCCACAAAAATATGCAGCAACCCCACACAAGGTTGTGGTTTTTATTGGGAGCTCTTTGAAGCCATTCATCTTGCTACAAATGAACTCTGGCATCGTTAATACTTGTAAAGGGATGGGGTAAGAATGGCAAATATCTTCTGACAATGACAGCACTTCTTTATACATCGTCCTTATGGTACCCTCCAGAACCAACAGAGTCAGTTATCACTGCATTTCAACTGTAAAGCCGGTTACAGTGGAACAGTCCATCTGATAAGCATGACTATTATGGCAATGATATTGGAAATGCTAAACCACTTCACTGTGCACGGGGCCCTCCATTAGCAAACAGAAGATTCTCCTCCCTATGATCAGCAGACAACCCAAGCTGGTCAGTCACCCTTTGGATTTCCTTGACAGTCAACAGAGAAAAGTAGGACAAACTATTAGTTTAGACATCTGCTTTCGGAGCACATGGCAACCTGCTCGTAGGAGCAGGATGCTAAGAGCACCTGGTCATACCAACTCTACTGACAAAGGGCTTAATTCAGTTGCCTAGTCTGGAGTATCTAGTGATACCAGAGATGCCCAAGGGTACCCCATCTAGCTTCCAGCTGCTGTTCCTGAGGGACAATAGGCTTTCATACGTACTGTGTCACATCTGCGAGCCCCGTGTGAAGGTCTCACATTCCCTAGGAAATATAAAGTCCAATTAATATCTACGTTTAGGGAACTGCGTTGACTCCTAGATGCCCCCACACTCCATACAATGACATCTACAACTGAGCTTGCCTGATGGACGGTGGAGAGTTAGTCAAAATCATTAACAAGATCAGCAGTGAGTGTCTTTTATTCTACTGTAGCTGTCTACAACAGATCAGATAAATTAAAGCCTGAAAGTAAAGAATGTGTAGTGTGGAACAACCTTGCAGCAGAAATGACGAAAAGAAAGCAATGCTCCCCATTGTCAAGCGCATCCTTAATAAAAAGGCCAGGGAACAAAAAGTTAGTAAACAACATGATACCTCCATGTCATGGACAATATGTCCAACTGTGTTTGAACAATTAGTTGTTTACTGCTGACCCTGTGCTGTTTGTTTTTCCTAGGAGAGATTAGTAAATGCTACTCAACAAGTACTCAGCCTTTATGTGTCCAGAAGTGTCTAGAAAAGCTCAGCTTGCCCTTAGCTGAGTCACCAGTCTCCGAGAAACTCTGTTTTGGAGAAAGAGAAGGCCAGATTCTTCCTAAACTGACTGTTATAATTATTGGATTTCCACCAATTTTCTTGCTTCGAAGACTTAAGCCAGCATCTACCTGAAGAAAAGTGACTTAATCCCTCTGTGTTTCAGGTCCCCAGCTGGGCACTGAGAGTGATGCTATACTGTCTGTTCAGGAATTCATCAGAGATATTGTTTCAGAGTCCATCTCTGCACAAGCACCCGACCGAGCAAGGCTACCAGGTTACGGTGCCGTGTAATGCAAACACATACTTACAATAAAGAATGATGAATGGTTTGTTATCTTCATCTCTGCGCCTTCCAGGAGTTGCTATTGAATTCTGAAGAGTTAAGTTAGAACTTAAGAGAGGCAGCAGACGTGCTACAGTAAGAGTCAATCAGCCATTTCAACCAAAAGGAATTAATGCCAAAGCTCAGTCTACCAGTCTATCATTATTTCTCACTTCAGGATTAATCCAAAACTCATCAAAGGCTGTTCAAAGACTCCTCTTGACTTTCATGGGTTTCAGATCAGCTGTTTTGCAATTTTCCCAAAGCAAACAAAACCGACATGCTGAAAGAAATGCGAAGAGAGAGGAGAAATATGGAGTTCAAACGCAGACGCTGAGCATTTCCTAATCAGGAGCAACTTCATCCCATGGGATTACAAGAGAAATGTTTGGAGATATGAACAAACTCTGAAATGCAGGCCAGAGCCTGCAGCTTGCTGGCTGTTCAGGGAGAAGTGCTCCATGTAGCTCTTCCCCTATGGAAGGCACAGGGCTGTTCTTCCTTAAATGAAAGTTTGTGCCTATGGGCAATTGCCAGCATGAAGTATAGAGCTCTAAGTTTTCAACTTCACTTGTTTTCTGATGACTTTGTTTGGTACAGGTCTTTTCCAGGTCCTGGATGACATCTGCCAGCCTTCTGTTTTTCTCATATACCTTGGACATCTGGATTTGCCTTGAGCATATGGGCTTGGGACACCTGGTGTCCACATGTGGGCAACCAAATCACATGCCATATGTCAGTGGAACCCATGGTAACTTTATGTGTGTGTTTAAGACAGCTGTGATCCTCTCCTAGTTGGAGCTGTGACCCACCAATTCAGGAAGCACAGCCAAATACACACACAAGAAGAGATGGCTTTCTTTATATCACAATACCACCTAAATGGAGCAAGGGTATCAGCTATTGGTCCTTAATGAAAGGTGGGAACCTTGCTAAAAAGTCATTAGAGTTTCTTCTGGTCACTTGGTAGCGTGGGAAGGCCACACGTGCAACACAAGCTGGTTATTTTGGAACTCACTATCAAAAAAAGATTACTCACAGAAATGGAATTTGGTGGTTTCTGAGGGATCAGTGATCGCAGCCTGATATAACTCCATTTGGGAAGATGGAAGTGTCTCAACCAGCCATTTCTACCTTGGTACTTCTGAAATGCCTCTTGCCTCCAACCTGGAATGAATTATGAGTAAAATTGATTCAGTGGAGGAAAAGCAAATGAAAAATGTGTGTAAACTCAGGGAGTTTTTATTAGATATCTAAAAAGGTGTGATTTCACAGGGGCAGATGGCAAAGTGAAAACAGAACAAGAGAGTCAGAAAATCGATATGAAATAAATGGAAAAACAGAAGGAAAGAGAGAAGGAGGAGATTTTGAGCTGCACAGAGGTCCATAATGGAAGATGCACCTGGAGGTACAGGTACAGGTTAAGGACCTAGAGGATTACTGTCTGACAGGGCCTATTTGAAGGAGTTTCTAAAGCACGTCTGAAGCAAATTGTCTTGGTGGCACCAGTAAAACTATCTCAAATGATATAGAAAGGACAAAGCTGTTCAGTAGCATTGAGGAAAAAGTTAGAAAATGTTTCCTATTGAGAGAGAGTGAAAGAGCTTCACCTCTTCATTTTACCGAAAGGAGATTGAGAGGTGACTCAATTACACCAGAATAAGTACAGACCCAGCGAGAAAATACTCTGTGCAAAATGGCTGTTTAATCCAGCAGAGAAAGGCACGCTTGCTGGACGATGAAGTTAAATAAGTTCAGCTGAGATGTTAGGTAAATTTTCTTTTTAAGTGAGAGCAATCAAGCGTTTGCACTAATTTTAAGGAAAGTGGAGGACCATTGAACTTTCAGCTCAGATGAAATCCCGGTCGGTGAGACGGTCACAAAGCTGTCAGTGAACGCAGTACAGGATTAACCAGGAGAAACTCTGTGGCCTGTGCTGAAGGAGAGTTCGGATGAGCTGATCTAGGGGTTCCCTCAACTTTAAACCCTCCAGGCAGTTTGCAGCCTACACTGACCAAAACAGCTTTGCAAACTGGACACGGAGAGAGTGTCACACCTAGAGAGCTGTTCATGCAGTCTGTCGATGAAACTCGAAGGAAGATGAATGTCTGGAGATGCCAGTCTCTTTCAAATGACAAACAGCAGTCTGGACAGCAAGTTTATAATGCTTGCCTATTTTTCCTGCAGCAAAAGCTAGACAAGCTTTTCCCACCCCGCAGTGCCTAAACGTACGCAGGGAATTGTCTCCACGTCAAGGAGGTAGGATTGGGTTGACTGAGTGGACAGTTGGACGATCTCAGCTATTTGAGCTCATGTTTCCTTCAGGAGTTTCTTTTGCACAGCCTGATGGTGTTTTCCCTCACCTGAGCAGCAGAAACTGCTTAAATGCTCCTAATGTGTTGTGCATAGAAAATAGAATGGGCTCATTGAAATACCCGTGAAAGTCTCATGGGAAGAGTAAAGCTCCTATAAAACATGGACTTAAAGTAAGCACTCACACTTCCGGTGACCAGACCAGCAGAATGCATGCAATCAGTTGCGCTGTCTCAAATGAGTGGAGGCAATATCTTAAAATACACTAACGCTTTCATTTGCAGCTCTCTGGTCATCCCCATCGTCCTAAATGATATCTCACTGACTGGGCCATTCTTCCCTTCTTCATCCACTATCAGTTTACCTGCCTCTCCTTTTTCTCCAGATCCATTTTAACTGATATAATATTTACACTGCCTTGGGAAACATTCTTTTATCTTTAAGAAAGTGCTCAGGTTTTCCATCCAATATTCCCTTTTATTCTTTCACAGCAGGCAGCATGGAGTACAAACAATATTTCAGCTACGCAGATGTGCTGTCTGAGCATGAAAACCGTGGTAAAAGTAATGGAATTTTTCAATCACAGTGCATTTGCATGCCAGATAAGGAACAGAAGAGATAGAGAGAAAGAAATCAACATAGCCATTGCTAAGACAAAATATTACAGAGTGCTTTACACAAATTGGTGCAGATAATATCAGAGTAAATACAGTGGCCTAGATCTGATTCTGGGTCAGCAAAACCTTAAAAGCATGCGTGCCGTGCACATCCGGAAGCAAAAGCTCACCAAACATGCAAAATATCTGTGGGCAGCGTGTGTTCAAGTTGGTAGTCTGTGCACCGTCTTCAGTGCACTTACTACTAGTACTAAGAGCCAGAAGGGATCAAAACAAGCCATGCTACTATAATAAACTGGTTGAGCGAATGCGTCTCCTTCCTTGGCCATGACAGCTCTTTAGGTAGAGCCAAGGACTACAAGGATGCAGGGAAGAAGGAGCCCCTAAAGATGGGTGGGGATTGTGGAATGGGTTCCCTAGAAGACAATTTTGCCGAGCAGAGGGAAAGGGGCCTTTAATGGTGTTTTAACTCATCATGCAGTTTGTGCTATAGGGCGAGGGAATGAAATCCAGAAATGTGTCCCCAGCTGAGGACAGAAGGACATTGCCTTGCTGCCTGTGTAAGCATTACACTCTGAGCAGCGAGAGTTCAGGCAGCAAATAGCAAGTTTAAAAATAATCCAAAGAAAGGCAGTGTTATGGCCAATGTTTTCAAGAGTTCACTCACTCTTAAGTGATTTCATACTTGGGCTTTCTATATAAGGTGTCTTATTATCTTAGTTTTAAGCCCCACGCCAGGAAAGCCAGTGACCTAAATTCCTCCAACGTCTATGACTCAGTCTGTCCCATTGACAGCACACCTCCGAAGACCTAGCACCAGCAAGAGGGAAACGCTAGGCATAAGAGCATATGTGGACTTTTGACAGTTTGATTCTGAGTCAAAGCATTGAAAAATTACCAATTCTTTACCTTTCGTGAGAGACGTTTCTCCCTACAGCATTCCTTAATGAAGTGAAATTCTCTCACGCAGATTTCCTTCAGCCCGATACTGAAGCTTCTCTCTGAATTGTGCTTTTCTTATCTCTGCCACGGATCTCAGACTGGTGTCAGAAATGGGAATAATTGACTGTTGTTCTCTTTCTAACAGTTGCAATGGAAAATGCTTGGTCCTGGTTTTGGGTGAGCGTTAATACGAACTCTGATCATCATCAATAATGGGTTGTTTTCAGAAGTTAGCACCTTTCGTGGCTATCCATTGGTGGCTTATAGTGCATTTGCATTGAGTTAGAAACACATGTAAATACACAAGGTCTGTTACAAAATCTCAAATGATGGTGGCATCTCTCATGATGAGCTAACTGCCTCTTGCGATCATGTGAACATACCCCTCATTCCTCTGTGGTTTCTTTTTTGAGCTGTTCCCTTCTCACTGAAACATTGCCATACCTCATTTAAAAAACCTTATTAATACAATGTCATAAAGCTAAAAAAAAACGCAACTTTTTTTTTTCCTTCCCTTGAATATATTACATAGAAAAGAGCCTCCTTGAGGGTTCAGGATGACAAAGATGGATCCAGGATGGTCAGAGATTTCCAGAGGTGCAATACTCATCCATCATGGATTAAAAAAACACACTGTTTGACACTACTGTCAGAAAATGAAAAATGAAAGTTGTTGCAAATCAACTCCAAATCACATGGATCCTCCCAGGCAGCAAGGAAGCTAGAGTTAAGAAAATACAGCTATATTTGTCCTGCCAGTGGGGGAGTCTGTGGTGTGGGTAACAGCCGCATTCAAGGGAGCTTGAAGAGATGGAGGAGTATTTTCTTTCCTGAGCTCCCTGGAACAATTCTTCAGAGGCTTTAAATGACAGGGATGGAGCGAGCACTCTGGTCTGTGAGATTGCTGAGCTATTTGGGTTTATTTATCCCAAGGTCTGACCCTCTGCCAATCTTTATTCTTTGTCATGGCTAAGACATAGCTGTGTAGTGAACCATGACCACATCCATACAGCCACAACTACCAGCCACCTAACTTAAGGTCTTTGAAACTGCAGACAAGCCCTCCTCCTGCCTGAGCTATGGAATAACTGAAGGCAAATATACGTGGGGAAGATAGACTTAAGCATTTAGACTATAAGTATTTTCTGTTCCAGAGCCCGTAAATTCACTCACTTGCTTACTGCAATCCAGAACATGCTGGAATTGTGCCAGCTTGGAGCATTTGCAGAATAGTTCAAATCCATCTTCACTCTTTGGGATAAACACAACCAAAGGAGAACTGATTAAGTAAACAGATCCATGCAGAGGTCCGACAGAAGATGATGATGTTTAAGCACAGATGTGAAATTAGGCAAATGCTTTGCTGAAGTGGAGTTTTGCTCCTGATCAAGATGAGCCATGCAAATCTTAACATGGTTAGGTGAGGTAATCTCTTTTGACCACAGCTGAAGGTGGGAGGTTGCAATGACATTTTTTAACCAAATTTGCTGAGGATAAGTAACTATGATTGAGTTGGCATACCCACAGGAACAACATATCTTCATGACTTTGACCCCATTATGAGTACAAACAGGAAATAACATATGTTGACTTTTTGCAGTGCTTGCTTCATTCTCACAAACTCTGTTCTCACTAGCAATGGGAAGCAAGAACAAACTGGACAAAGTATTTTGGTTTAAGTTAGACGTGTTTACAGTTTCAGATCCAGCAAGATACACCTTGACCTCAGTTTAACTTTAAATGGAGTCTCCTACCATAGTACACCTTTTTTAATCCTGCAGCGCCCAGAAAGGAAGCAAACACAATGAACTGACACTTTGTATTTTCCTGATGATCTTCAATGCAAAGCCTACATATGCATCTACCACGTGCCCTGCAGATAGAAAACACAGGCTGAGAATACCGAGTGCTACAAAAGACCAGCATACCCCCCACGTTACTGGTTTCTTCCCTGTTCCTTGGGTGGAGATTTATTGTGGATTGGGATAGCTCAGAAATCTTCAGCTTCAAGAAGGGACTCGTCAGTGATTTTGAAGTGGCCTGAATGTCTGCATACACATTGCATTGCTCATCACACCAAGTGCAGTAAAAAGCCCTGCTTGAAAAATGACTGATTTGGGTTTTGGCAGGAAAAAACTTGGTTAGTGTTCACTCTTTGGGGAAACGGGGCAGGAAGGAGGGAGCATGCAAACAGGCCGTGACTACAAACAGCCTCAGTGTGTCTGCAAAGTAATCCCATTGACAGAGACCCTGTGTTTTGAAGCACAAGTGCCAAACTTTGTGTCTATCAGGGTG